TTYMAWWAAAAAGGCTAACTTAGCAAGGACAGTTAAACAGTTAATGTTAAACARGAYAACCATAGTCCCATGGTCATRCAATCGCCGCTCGACAGTCGCCGTCCACCGTTATCCCCCACAAAGCTTCATTTTGAAATAAGTGTATATCAAAAGCTTTATGATATATTTAGTACTTACACTATGTGTTTAACCATATCGAGACCCATATTGACAGCACATATCGCATGATCAGGKATTTCGTCAAGACCCGATATACAGTAGTAACAATCTCCCAATATCTTGATTCGAAGACAGCGATTTTTCTATTGAAAAAGATATTGATTGTAGTACAGTAGTTATGTCTAAACAACAACAACGACAGCCATAACAATCAATGATAATCATATGTCATGAGAATAATTAAGACACAAAACATATTTATAAGCATACTCGTAATCGTAATTTTAACAATGATAAACATTATTATYGTAAGCATAATCACAATCACAAACATAGTCACAATCATAAACATAATGATAGAGTGCTCGCACTTAAAGCGTGAAACAAATAGTACTAATTACTACTAAATAGTGTTGATTATGCAATAGGAAACAAAGGAATTTGTATAATTTATCACCTATTTTGTAGTATTTATATTTCATGCATTTAGTGCGAGCACTCTACTCATAGAAATAAMACTTTTATAATCATAATCATAAGATCGGAAACATAATTAGAAGTATACGYACAATGACAGACATAACATCATTAACACAATCACAATCACAATCGTGGCTATACTTACMGCTCCAATCTTATCAAAWATGGCAAACAGTTCATTTAGCGTTACGATGAGCTCCTCAGCGGTACACATCGATGACAGTTCAGTAAAGCCAACGATATCAGCGAACAGAATACTAAACAAAAGCAACACAAAAATCTCTATTAGTAARAGTAAACAATAAAGGCCGCTTTACACTTGCGGTTTTTGATGAGCGATTCTCGCGGCGATCGTCGCGCGACCATCATTTGAGTTTCGAACATGCGGACTGCTTACACGTACAAATTTAGCATAGTGGCGATTATCGCGCTAAAAAATTCTCAAGTGTAAATTGGCCTTAAGAAAGAATAGCTGAAAACACGGAAAACGCTACAATAAGTCAATTCAAAAGCAGATTGATATTGACATTTAATTTCAGGCTTATTTGGCCCCCAGCACGCCAAACTGACAAGAAAAGAAATGATGTTTGAATGAGACTAATTGATAGACCTCAAAACCCATCCAACATGTTTAAGACAATAAACTTTCAACATCAAACAAGATGGTACCGTAGAAAATCTTGAGTAGCAACAACGCGACAAGAAAAAGTTGACTAAGTGGCAAAATGCTGGGTTTTCATGCTGAATATGGAGATTTGAGGCCCAAACAACATCTCTCCGATGTTAATGCCGGATGAGCAATGTATCGTTCACCTTGTTTAAAACATTTTTTGGGTACTGACTCTATATTTCTGGCTGACATTTATAAAAACAGGAATAAGCCAAACGGATCGGATCATTTCAAGGACGAATATTTCCATGATATAAAACTGGAATAGCTATATATGTATAGGACTCTAGTCCTGTATTGATAAATTAAGATGAACTGCGCATGTGATCGTGCACTTGACCTGAAATTCTCGCTTACAGCGGGAGTCGAACCCATGACACTTTTTAAAATAATCAAATTTTGTTTCACGGTTTAATAACATCACTCTACGCTAATAATTAAAAATCTCATCGTTTCTAGTAAATATTGTTTCATGGATACAGTGTAAGCACTGAATATTGTCCGGTAAATATTTTGAAACAATGAAGAAATCTGTTGAAAATATATAGCAGCCGGAATAGCTCAGTTGGGAGAGCGTCAGACTGAAGATCTGAAGGTCCCTGGTTCAATCCCGGGTTCCGGCAGTTTTTTGGTTCTTAATATTACTTTCTCAACGCGAGGAAGCATTTAGTGGAATGGTTCGCCCCATCACCCCAAATAATGCAATTATACAGTGCAATATAGTGATGTCGTAAAACCCGTGAAATCGATAAAGTGAAGTCGAAAACCCCGTGAAAATGATATAAGACAAATACACCTTAGCACGCTCTAATTACATTGTTTTATTTTTGTGTCTATTTGGCTATCACACTTTAATAATCAATTTTTGTTTCACGGACTTAATAACATCACTCTACGCTAATAATTAAAAATCTCATCGTTTCTTGTAAATATTGTTCCATGGATATAGCGTGAGCACTGAATATTGTCCGGTAAATCAGTTTTGAAAGAATGAAAAAATCTGTTGACAACATGTAGCTAGCCGGAATAGCTCAGTTGGGAGAGCGTCAGACTGAAGATCTGAAGGTCCCTGGTTCAATCCCGGGTTCCGGCAGATTTTTGTTTCTTAATATTATTTTCTTAACACGAGGAAATAGCCGGAATAGCTCAGTTGGGAATGTAAAAACATTTTAACTTACTACACTTTATTTCTCTTTATAATGTGTGTGTTTCTTTAGAGTACAAACATTTTAACATTTAAAAATGTGTGCAACACTTTCCACTATTTACTACAAAATAGCGTTAATTAAACGCAATAGAAAACAATAGAATTAGCATAATTTAGCAGTATTTAGTGGTATTTTTATGCTGCACAGTTTTAGTGTTTGTACTCTATCTTTTTGGTGTGTTAANAGTGATGTCGTAAAACCCGTGAAATCGATAAAGTGAAGTCGAAAACCCCGTGAAAATGATATAAGACAAATACACCTTAGCACGCTCTAATTACATTGTTTTATTTTTGTGTCTATTTGGCTATCACACTTTAATAATCAATTTTTGTTTCACGGACTTAATAACATCACTCTACGCTAATAATTAAAAATCTCATCGTTTCTTGTAAATATTGTTCCATGGATATAGCGTGAGCACTGAATATTGTCCGGTAAATCAGTTTTGAAAGAATGAAAAAATCTGTTGACAACATGTAGCTAGCCGGAATAGCTCAGTTGGGAGAGCGTCAGACTGAAGATCTGAAGGTCCCTGGTTCAATCCCGGGTTCCGGCAGATTTTTGTTTCTTAATATTATTTTCTTAACACGAGGAAATAGCCGGAATAGCTCAGTTGGGAATGTAAAAACATTTTAACTTACTACACTTTATTTCTCTTTATAATGTGTGTGTTTCTTTAGAGTACAAACATTTTAACATTTAAAAATGTGTGCAACACTTTCCACTATTTACTACAAAATAGCGTTAATTAAACGCAATAGAAAACAATAGAATTAGCATAATTTAGCAGTATTTAGTGGTATTTTTATGCTGCACAGTTTTAGTGTTTGTACTCTATCT